CTCGGGGAAGCTGCAGAGGTTTCTGTGCCTCCAGCGGGGCTGAGCATCGCTCCCGGCTGAGTTTGCTGTGCAGGAGGGAGCGGGGAGGTGCTGAAACTGCTGCTCCTGGGACACGTGGATGTAGAAATCGAGCCTGGATGTGGGGGATCGTGGCTACCCTGGCGATGCCCGTGCCAGGTTTTGGGAAGGCAGGAGGCCCAGACGCCCCATGGGGCTGCTGTGGTGTCCCGGGGTGACAAAGAGCCGCGGTCACACTGGGTGTGTGCAGGGAGCGCACAAAGCCCGGCCCCGGCATCCCAGCGCCCGCTTGGCCCCGTCCTTCCTCCCTCCTCTCCCTCCGTCCTTACCCCGAGGCTGTGAGTGTGAAATCCCCGCCTCAGCTCGGAACACGCGAGCCTGGAGCCGCTCCAGGTCACGCTGTGGCAGGGTCCCCAAGCCGGGGCAGCATCCCCGGAGCTCGGGGCCGTGCCGGGCACAAAGGGGGGCTGTCAGCTGCTGGATTGCTCAGCCTGCCATGGAGCTGCGCTGTTATCTCTGCCAGGACACCAGGGCTGCGTGTGATTGCTTAAATCCCATCGCGATCCTTAAAATTGGCATTAGAGACAAATATTGTGAATTGCAAAGAAAAGAACCAGCTGTATAAACTCCTAACTATTTACATAAAAAGGTGCAAAAATGCTCTTGTTTCCATGGGCTGGCCTTTGTTCAGATGTTTTTGCAAATGTGATGCAGATAAACAATTCCAAGTAATAACAAACTTTAAAGATAAGAAGGAAGCTCAGCAGTGACTCATTTGAACAAGCCTCAGCCTCTGAAAACACTGAGATCCAGAATATAAAACACTGAGATCCAGAACATGATGTAGCACGAAGTCTCTGAGTTCCTGAGCTCGGGCTGAGGGAAAGATGAATAATCACAGCACCGAGGGCAGTTTGCAGGGCATTTGGGTGACATGTCCGTGTCACCTTTGTTAATACCACCCAAATAATTAATGAACAGCAGCCAGTGCAGATTCTTTCAGAGGGAAGTGCTCCCTCACCATCTTTATGCCGTGAGGAGGGGGAGAATACCTGTTGTGATGGTTATTTGATGGGCTGGAATGCAATAAAATAGTCCTGACAGCTTTGCTGAGGCAGGCGACAGCTTTGGCTTTCCTGCATGAGCAGCCCCGAGCCCGCACGCCTCGGTGCTCAGCACGGCTCCGAACCCCATCCACGGGTTCAAGCAGGAGATTTCTCTCCGTTCTGGAGAGATGGGGAAATCGTGGCTCTTTTTTCTTTGCTTTCAGAGCCGTGACGTTCATTTCCAATCTTTCAGCGATCTGATGGGCAGCTCTCTCTTTAAATGAAAGCCGAACATGGACAGGAATCTGGGAGCTCCTGAAAAGAGCCTCGAGTGTTTGCTCCAGTGGAGTTTGCTGCAGGAGGGTGGGAGCTGGGGATGCCGGGGGCAGAGGGGCCAAAGCTGATGTGGGGCTCAG